CCCCCCCCGGGGGGGATTTAAAAGAAAGATAGATGAGGTGCTGAGGGCCAGGGTTTGGGGGTGGGATGGCAGGGTTAGGGGAATGGTTGGGCTTGATGATCTTAAAGGGCTTTTCCAACCAAAGTGATTCTATGATTCTGTTCTAATGGCTGTTTGTCAGGCAGCCCTGTGTGTGCAGAGCCCTCTAACCAAGCCCAGAGAGGCTGCCGAGGATGCACTGTGGCAGCCACAGGTGGACCGACGTCACTAATGAAACCAAGACCTCTACGGCTGAGTCGCTTGCACAAAAATACGGCTTTCCAGCGAGAGCCTGCCCTGCTGGGACCTGCATAGCACAGGGCCAAGACCAGGCATGGACCAAAAGGTTTGGGTTTGCCAGGCTGGTGGCTCTGCAGGTGAGTTTGAGCAAGGTCAGGGAAGCCAATGACTTCTAGGTATTGCATTTGGACTTAGAATCATAGAATCGTCTAGGTTGGAAAAGACCTTTAAGATCATCAGATCCAGAGAACACATTGTGCCCAATTTTGCAAAGCCAGAGGACAGCATTTCATCTTACAAACAAGGACATAACAGTCTTTTCCAGAATAAGAACATAAGCCACTTTCCCCAAAATAGTCTTTGAAGCTTTGGGCAAACGTAGCGTCGGCTCTTTCATTTATCAGCCCGACTCCTGTGCTGTGTTCAGTTCCTCGCAGCCGTCCTTAGAAACACTTCCTCCACCTCTTTCGGCGTACAGACACCACGGGAACTTAGTAAACCGCAAACAACCGCTGTATGCTTTTTATCAGTAATTCTTAGCTTGGTTTGGTTCTTGTTTTAGCAGTACCTGTGGTTTCTGTTTAACAGCTCTGCAGCCTGCGTTGCCCCAACGCCCCGTCCTTAGGCAAAAGCAGCAGGCAGAAGAGCTCTTCACCGAGGTCAGGGGTCCAAACTCTCCATCTCCTTTTTGCAAAGCTGCTTTCTTCAACTCTGCCGGGATATTTTCATCCCCGATAAGCCGCGAGGGCTTAGCTGTGCCTGCTTCTGTGGCAGGCAACGCTCTCTCCTCAAGCAGCTTGCTAGAAGCCCAAGGCTCGTTTTCCCCTCTTTGACTGCAGAGTCCAAGAAATACCACCCCTTTCTGATTCTTGTCAAGGCAAAAGAGAGTTTCTTCCTTGGTGTCTAATTCTCCTAAGCGCATTCAGGTTTTCCTACTGCAGTCTGCTCATTTCCAAGCAGAGCTGCCTATAAAAATTTCCCTCTCTTAATTTCAACATCTTTTCCCTTGCACCGCAGCAATGGAAACGGTCGCGGGCTGCTGGCTTTCCTGGGTCGCCTTTCGAGGAAGGCTGCAAATTCGTGTTTCCCCAGAACTACAGTTCCCAGAAGACATCTTATCTGCCCCCAAACCAGGAACCGAGGCCCGCTGGCTCCACTACATCTTTCAAAAGGCTTCCTCCTCCCGACGCAGCGATGACGATGACGGAGGAAGGGAAGAGGGCTCCTGGAGCAGGGTGCCCCGCGTGGACATGGGGAGAGGCAGGGCCTCCGGCCGCCGCCGTGCTGCGTCCCGCCCAGCACAGCCCCTGCTTGGGCAGAGCTCCGGGCAAGGTCGGGGGGAGAGCATCGTAGGGTCGCTGTCTGAAGGCACTGCTTCCCCTTACACAGAACTACAAAATCCCAAGCCAAAGCGTGGTGTTTGAAGGGCTGGCCAGTGTTAAATGAAGTGGTTTAGGGACTGCGTGAGAACTGAAGAAATGCCCTGCTCAGCCGTGTGTCCCCGCTAAAGTAATATTTCACCATGTCTGCTCTTAGGAGTGCACAAAATCCTCTTTAGCCTCCGATCAGACACATCTGTGGTACCCGGGCTGCGATGCCAAGCGCCGCGCTGGCTTCCTCCTCCCCGGGGGAACGGTCTTGGGAAAGATTTTAAGAGGAAGGACTTAACTCCATGGCCCGAAGCAGCCTCCGCACCGTTTCATGGGATGTGACTCAGTACCATACTCGGTCACTTAAGCCTTAGTGCTCCTAATTAAAACCGGTCCTTACCTAGGCTAACGCTGCGTCTCTGTCAGGGAAGTCATTCCCAGCAGTACAACCCTCAACAAACTTATTCGTGCAGGGGCTGTAATCTCCTGGAGTGATTTCTGGTTTTTGCAATCCGAAGTCAAAGGTGTTCCTTTTACGACACCCTTCTAAAGTCTGCCTCTCAAAACGCTGAACGCTCAGGAACCTCCCAAAAAGCAGATAGCGGAGGACGTCATCGGCCGCTTAAAAGGCCCGAGGCTGGCATTTGCAGCGCAGAAAGGTTAGGCTCGGTTTCCAGCAAGTCAAAGGAGTTGGGTAACGAGCAGCGTCGTTTCTTCAGTGCTTTAAAAATACAGCGGGACGTGGGGTGCAAATGCGAAAAGTCGGTCTGGCGTCTCAAGGCTACCACGCTTTTCCCCGTCTAAGCGAGGCAGGAGGACTTGGCTGCTCGCTGATAGCGACAGTTTACCGAAATAAATATTGACCTTCAAACAAATACTCGTACTAATGTAAATACTGACTTAAATACTAAACCTAACCTTTGTCTGGTTTGTTTTTTTTTTCCCACCAGAATGTACTCTGTTTCCAGAGGGGTTTTGCTCAGATTTCTGCCGGAGAATCTCAGCATCCCACTTCATCGCTAAATGAAGCTTCAGGAGAGGTTTGCTTTGGGGGCTCAGCCCGAACCCCCAGCCTGATGAAAGCTGCTGTGCCAGGAACTGGAAGACAAAAAGAAAAGTGATGCAGAGGGGAGATGAGACAGCCTTTCAAACACCCCCGAATCAAGCCCTTCTGAAGAGTTTATGGGAAATACCCCTGCTTGCCAAGAGCAAATCTGTGAAAGGTATCAGCACCCCCTCCACTTAGGACATTTCCTTGTCCCTCGCAGGAGGAAAATAACAAAGTGCAATTGCAATTGAATCATAGAATCATAGAATGTTTTGGGTTGGAAGGGACCCCTAGAGGTCACCCAGCCCAACCCCCCTGCAGGAGCAGGGACACCTTGAACCACATCAGGTTGCTCACAGCCCCGGCCAACCTGGCCTGGAATGTTCCCAGGGATGGGGCCTCCACCCCCTCTCTGGGCAACCCCTGCCAGGGTTTCACCACCCTCAGTGTCAAGAATTTCTTCCTTAGATCCAGTCAGTTGCTGCAGAGAGCAACCAGGTAATGCTCGTGTCTCATTGCTGCTGGCAGGGAAGCCTCCTCCTGCTCTAATTTCGGTGAAGCAGGTTTTAGTTGCTGAGGCTCAGCCACTAAACACCGCACAAGCCCTTGCTACCGCTGTCGTTGCTGTCATTTCAGTGCCCGTCGTATGTGATGCTGAGTATTTATCTCAAATAACTGGCCCGCTGGCTCTCAGTAGCCGTGCACCGTGGTGTCTGATGGCTGGGTGAGATGCACCCATGGAAATGCAGGTGAGCAGTGGGACCCCCACCCAGAGGGGCCGTGCAAGCAGGGGCTGTTGGCAAGAAAATCAGTCTTTGGATGCCTAAATATGCCACAACCATCTTGCTTGATGATCGGGGGGCAGGAGTGTGCTCCATCCCCAGGTTATTCTCAGAAAGCCTCCCCGGGCCGCCCACGTGCCCTGCGGGACCGGGATGCTGAGTGTGCACGGCTCCCACAGGGCCAGATGGGCAGCAGAAGAAAAGCAGAGCTACCCTGTCAAGATATTTTAGCAAATTTGACATAGCCGAGTGGTTTCATACTGGATGAGCACACTGTATCGGGTGCTGGGCGTTTTGAGCCAGAACTTGCAATCCTGCAGCTCCTTTTCCTCTGCTCTTGCCCCTCACTTCCCCACCTCTGCTTTCCTACTTTTGAAGTCACGTGAATACCCTCACAGCCCAAATCTGTTAAAGAAGACGATGACAGTGGCTGGCCACAGCCCTAGTTTTGCCCGCTTTTCTGAAAACTGCAAGGGATTTTTCCTTTCCCTTTAATATCATTAGATGCAGGCGTATTACACATATTTTTTTTTTCCCACTGCTCTGGGATAAAAAGTTACTTCTTGCTACCCTTAAAACAATAAAAATGGAACTGGTTATTAAAAAAAAAGAAGTAAAAAAAAAGGTCATGAACTGCTTGCTTTTTGCTCCTTCAGTGTAACACCAAAGTGACATCGGAAAGAGGAAGCGCCCCAGAGCCGGCGCGGCGGCAGGCGATCCCAGGCTGCTGCTGGTGTATCTTCACCCGCTTATCTCTTAACGTCACCCATCTTGTGGGTCAGCTGCCTCCCAGAGCCCAGGCGCTGCGGTCCTTTCTGCAGGCTCCAGAAAGGTTTCAGAAGGGCTCCAGAAATAGCTGCATCTACGGGGTGGTGGTGGACCTTCACGCCGCTGGGCTGTGTCCCATGGATTAACGCCCGAGCATGGCTCGTCACATTGTTTCTGGGGACTTCGCAGTGCATTTAGTCCAGGTAAGTGCCAGCTGGCTGGAGCGGGAGTTTTCTGGGGCTGGCTCAGCAGGGTACTCGTTGGCATGAGGTTTAATTTTGGGAATTCCACTAACAGCAGGAGAAAGTGGTGTGAACTTGTCCTCTCCCCCCCGTCAGTTTAACTCCATTCCTGACTCCAAAGCATGATTTTGCTTTAAAAGCAGAAGGACCAGGCGGTGGCAGGAGATAAGGGTGTTTGGATCTGGGATGGGCAGTTTGCTCAGTTGCTTAAGTCAATACTAAATAAAGACGTGCCGTTCTGAATCATGCCCAGCTGCAACCTTCACTTGCATAAACCAGCCTGGAGATGTTTGGTTACTAGGCGAACCCAAAGGTTGGGAAACCAATGTCTTCCGAAGCAGTTTTTCAGTTCAACATTAATGCAAAGTCCAAGTAAATGCCAGTCGTTTGCATCCGGATCTGCCTGGAGAGGTGCCAGCAATGATGTCCTGACCCCAAGTAAATGCCAGCCCTCCTGTATGAGCATGGAAACCTCCGGTGCCCTCAGCTGGAAATGGGGGCTGTAGCTGTGGAGCAGATGCCGACCGAACACCTCGCACCAATGCCGTCCATCGACATGTGGGAGAGCCAGAAAACTCCCAGCAGTGACCTTCCTCCAGCTGGTTGGCGATAACTGGGTATCCAGGTATCCATGAGGGACAGGCAGAAAGTTTAAAAAAAAGCAAAAAAAGGTAAAAAAATAAAGAAAGTAAAAGCCAAGCAGCCCATCTCGGGGGGTGTGTTACAGGCGGCTGTACCTGACACTTAGAATGGAATTGCTGAAGAACCAGTTCTGGTTTAGGTTTCCATTCCCCCAGTAAGTGTGGCAGGGGGTAAAACGGGGTAACCTGGCACTTCACGGCCACTTTCCTTTAAAGGTTTAGTAACTACGGCTGCCTCCAAGGCTGCGTGCCACTGGTTGCTCCGTTTGTTAGAGTTCTTTATGTATTTGCTAACAATTTTCAGAAACCTGTAACGGGATGCCGACTGCCAGCTGAGAAAGTGCAAAAATTGGCTGAAATGCCAAGATTTTCAATGCTTTTCCTGTAACGTTCTCCTCTGTTGCAAGGGGACCCGATGGATCAGCCAGGCAAATGGGCGTTGCAGCACACCTAGGTAAACACCGTGCTGCTCAGCCCGCCGATCCCAAGCCTCAGATAAACACTTGTGTCCAGTTATTTCCTTGGAAAAGACCCAGCCTGTATTGCACACATGGGTGTCTTTGCCGACTGAGCAGGCTGTGATTTGTAATACCCTGCTCTCCCCAGATTTACGGACAGAATTAAAGGAAGGTGAGAATATCCCCCCAGCAGTGCTCTTCTGAGCTCTGTGCAGCTCGCACGCTGGTGAGTATAAATACAAGTGATGGCACGGACTCTGCTGGGGGTTTGCATGCAAGGTTTGGCTTTTCTTTAATTGGGGTTTTTTTGGGTTTTTCCACTTGCTCTTCCTCTTTCAGTTTTCATCCTACAGCAAAGCCTGGTTTTACATGTTTTACTTGGACTGTGCAAAATGGCTGGGAGTCTGGGGGGAAAAAAACCCAAGAGGACTAGAGAGTTGTGCTATTGGGTTTAGCGGAGGGCTTGAGCAAACTGGGAGCAGAGTACTGGGGAACTGGGACTGATGGCAGCTTTATGTTCAGTTTAAACTCCGGAAAGGCAGCGCACAGCATTCCTTATTGCCGCCTTGCGTCTCTGCTTGTCAAAGAGTAAAATAACTTTTTTGAGACTAGCTTTATGCTTCCTGATAGATTTTTTTGAAGGACAAATAAAATCTTTCCAGGATGCCTTCAGCTGGGGGGTGGCATGTACTCCAGCCTGCGTTTTCCTCCCGTGCGCCTGCACGCCATGTGGTGCCATGGGGTGTCTGGTCCTTCTCCAGGGGGCTTTTGGAACCTGCTCAGGGTGAGCCTGCTTTAGCAGGGGGGTTGGACTGGATGATCTCCAGAGGCCCCTTCCAACCCCTGCTACTCTGGGAATCTGTGTGACTTGCTGGTCACCGCAGACCGCTCCATTCAGCTGCGCTGCCTGCTGCTCCGTCTCCCCTCCCTGCAAAGCCTGTGGGTTCTTCCAGCTCATGGTGTCTCAAAACTTTTGTGATTCATTCAACCCCATTTTTTTCCCCCCGTTGTGATCCATCCAATGGACCACAACATAAAAATCCTCTTTGCTCCAGCCACCCTGCCCGCGGGCTACCAGCGAGATGGCGTGGGCAGCATCATCCCGGGGCAGTGGCAGGAGGGGACAGAGCCATCCTGGCCATTCATCTGCATGGCCCCAGCACGGGGACTGCAGAGCAAGCACTCACAGAATGTCAAGGGTTGGAAGGGACATCAGGAGCTCACCCAGTGCCACCCCCCTGCCCAAGCAGGCTCACCCAGAGCAGGGGGCACAGGACAGCGTCCAGGCGGGGGTTGAAGATCTCCAGAGAAGGAGACTCCACAGCCCCCCTGGGCAGCCTGGG